TAAGAAAAATAGGTGGATTGACCTTTTCCAACCGTCGATTTTGAAAAACTAAGTGTCCAATTCAACAACTAATTTGAAAACTTGGAAACATGTTCTCTTCCAGTCTTCTCTGGAAGAATTTATCAGTGGATTTGTCCTTGAGACAACAAACTAGATATACCTAATTAACAAGATTTCGCAAAGGTTCAAGCTTCTGGCAATTTGGCTTGATGAATTGCATCACAAAATCAAAGAGAAACATTCTTACTAATAGGTGAGGGTGAACACAATTAGACAACATATAAATTAAGGTTTGAAGAAAAAGTATAAAAAATGCATCACACAATGTGTTATAAGAAGGTTATTTTATTTGGTAAAAAGTAATTTTATTAAATAACAACACCAAATAGATGACATGGTGCTACAAAACAAAAGTAACTGACCTCTTCAGTCAGTCGTTTCAGAATACCATTCTTTCCTCAGCTGAAACTAAACATACATTAGTTCCAAAAAAATGCACATTCCTCTTATATGTTATTCATAATCAATTTCTGTATGGCTATGTAAACTTATTTATGCATCATTTGTTAGAAAAATGATTCTAGTATCTCAAATGAAATTATTTTATTATACTTGAAAAGAAACATTATTTTATGTCAATATAGTTGTTATCTTTATTTCCATATATTCTAATATTGGCAGCTATATCACACTATTAATTAACCTACTTACTCCTCCATTAATCACTCATTGTGCCGTTGGTAGCTCATTAATGTGGCAATTGAATATTGCCAAAATGTTGTTCATATGAGATGATCATCTGTTTCCATTTATATATACTATTATCTAATCTTATAAGGGTAGAGATTGAGAGCAAGAGAAATTTCTTCCTTCTCTTTTCATATTCTATTGTGCTGGATTTTGGTTTAAAGAATATTTGTTAGTTTTTGGCTCCTAGTTTTATACTAGAAGAGCTTGTTGAATCTTGGGGGATACACCTATATTGGGTTAAATATTCTTAAGGACAGTGTCTCTCGACACACCTCAAGCTATGAGAAGTTCCTACAAAAGTTCGTGGTGAAGTATAAGGTTTGATGAATTCCGTACAAGTGTTCGTGATGAAGGTATTTTTCGTAAGATTTACAACATTATTCACCTTTTTACCCCATACTTCTATGCGCACCGTTCAACGTTCTCTGAAGTGCTTCTCCTTCCACATTATATCTTCATAACAACCAGTGGCGGACCCAGGATTTTCACGAAGTGGGTTCAAGATATAAAAATATACCTAATATTATTTGTAATTTTTATGAGGCTAACATCATACATATCTGACTATACTAAACAATGTTAATACATTTGAAAAAAAATTACATTGACTTATGAATGAGACGGTAAATAACAAGATGGACGAAAAACTAGGCTTCAATATAAACTAAGAAGATAAAAGAATATTATGAATGATTTCTCTTCATTCAACATTTAACAAATAAAAACAAAATATTAAACAAAATAATTATAACCTTAATTTCATAATCGAATACATAGAAATATACCTAATATTATTTGTAATTTTTTGTTGATTTTAGAATGATAAGGGATTTTTTAGTTGAAGAAATAAAAAATAACCACAATAATCATATATGTATATATAAAGACTAGAATCAAGAGCAAAAAACATATACTTGATGGATATTTGACTATTGATGCGAGATTTGAGAGACGGGAAGAGTTTTTTCCTTCAATAAAAAAATATGCTCAAAATTTTGGGGGGAAAAGTAAGAGAGGTTCAAGAAGATTTCAACAAAGAAGAAGACAAAAGGGTTTTTAGAATTGAGAATAATAGGGATTAGTGCCTTTTTGGTTGAGTTTTTAAAATTTCATAATCGAATACATAGAAATATACCTAATATTATTTGTAATTTTTATGAGGCTAACATCATACATATCTGACTATACTAAACAATGTTAATACATTTGAAAAAAAATTACATTGACTTATGAATGAGACGGTAAATAACAAGATGGACGAAAAACTAGGCTTCAATATAAACTAAGAAAATAAAAGAATATTATGAATGATTTCTCTTCATTCAACATTTAACAAATAAAAACAAAATATTAAACAAAATAATTATAACCTTAATTTCATAATCGAATACATAGAAATATACCTAATATTATTTGTAATTTTTATGAGGCTAACATCATACATATCTGACTATACTAAACAATGTTAATACATTTGAAAAAAAATTACATTGACTTATGAATGAGACGGTAAATAACAAGATGGACGAAAAACTAGGCTTCAATATAAACTAAGAAAATAAAAGAATATTATGAATGATTTCTCTTCATTCAACATTTAACAAATAAAAACAAAATATTAAACAAAATAATTATAACCTTAATTTCATAATCGAATACATAGAAATATACCTAATATTATTTGTAATTTTTTGTTGATTTTAGAATGATAAGGGATTTTTTAGTTGAAGAAATAAAAAATAACCACAATAATCATATATGTATATATAAAGACTAGAATCAAGAGACAAAAGGATTTTTAGAATTGAGAATAATAGGAATTAGTGCCTTTTTAGTTGAGTTTTTTTTTATTTTTAAAAAGGACAAAAATTGTTGACTATTGGACTTTTAATTGTAAAAGCAAAAAGTTGTTCTACTTTTTATAGTTTCTAAGTAACGAAAAGGACAAAAGTTATACCTACATAGAGGACAAAATTGTGTGTGAACGTTTTATATATCAAAAAAATGAATTAAAACTAAAATGTGGCAATGGGGATTCGATCCCGGGTTGGCTGGGAAAATTGAACCCCCTCAACCACTAGGCTAAGCTTCAAACTTGTGTTAGTGGGTTCAAAATTTAATATATACATATAAAATTTAAAAAACTGATTAAATATACATATATATACAGTGTTATTTTTCAACGAAGTGGGTTCATATGAACCCACTTGAACCACTGTAGGTCCGCCCCTGATAACAACCATGAGTAAACTATAATTTGTCATCTTTATTCTATTTATTTGTAAGCATACTATTTTCTTTTCCAACGTGACGTTGTCCTACTTCATTAGATGTATCGCCTTGTTCTCCTTTTTTCTTTATCATTTTTTCCTTCTCATTTTCATCCAATTTTATTGCTATCTTATTAGCATTGTGGAAGAGTGACATCACATAAGACGATATTCATTCAAATACTACTATTAATTAGCATCACTTTTCCCCCATAGTTTGAAACTATATATTTTTTCTAACCTAAGTTGACGTAGGATTGAGCAACAAAATCAAAGATTCAATGCCCCAGTCTACTTGGCCAGAAAAGGAAAATTCAGGTTCAACAATAGAGACAACATACAAAATCATCATTTGACGAAATTTGAATGAGAAATTAAGTTTAAACTGGCACCTTATAGTTACCACAATCTCTATCACCCCTATATCATAGTCGAGTAATTTTCATTAAAGTTAATTTTAAAGATACAAAAAAAAATAATTCAAAAACATCATCTGAATGACCTCATATTACCTAATCACTGCATAATAATACATATTTTTAATTTGATCATTTTTATGAATCTACCGAATTTTAGATCAATCAGTGTTCAATAATAATATTTATCTCCAAAGCTATGATCAAATTAAGATTCAAACGATTTAAGGAAAAATAATCAGATCTATATCCTTATCATATATCAATTCATGTTAACTCATCATGTGTAATCTGCATGTACCACATTTAACATAAATAAACCCGATATAAAGGATTATATTCATACTAAATCACATTTTTATTTCAAAGAACAACTATAAAATCTTTTTAACGACCTCAAAAAAAAATATAACCACATAGCAATGAGTACTTTTTACTAGGTTATTACCAATGAACTTACCGAATTTCAGGTTAATTGGAGTCTGTAAAAAATCTTTATTTCCAAAGTTATGACCAAATTCAAATTCAAGTGATTTAAAGCATCTTTAGGAATTAAAATAATATGACCTACATTTTTATCACATATCAATTCATGTAAAATTACCATGTGTAATCATGTTTTGATTTTAAATGAATATAACTGACATAAAGAATGATCTTATCATATTCAAATCAAATTTAATCCGACAAACTACCTAAAACCCATCCAACGATTTTTGATGGAACCTTCAAATTTCAGGTCAACCAGAAATAAAAAATTCATGACCACCTAAATTATGACCAAATTTGAAAAATACCATTTTAGGCATAGTTAATAATTAAAAACCTGATTCAGAATTTTATTCTCTTTTAATAATTATCTCACGAGCATAAGACATATTGTGTGTTAAAGACACACAACTAATAAACCTCCTTACAATAAATTGTCCTCACAATTACTATACACAAGAATCCAAGATATTATGTTTCTCCCTTTTAGATTGGTGAAAACCTTTAATATCTCTTCTCATTAATTAATTAAGTATTACTAGTATCTCAAGGTAAATCTCCATTCAAGTAAATAAATATTCACCACTAGTATTCACTTAGAACAATCTATACATGATTCATTGAGGGTATTCTAATGACCTCAAATAAATAAATCATATTAGTAGATCCTATTTATTAATTATAGCTCTTAATTCATAAATAAGCTCACATATATAAAGCTTTAAGAATTTTTTTAGCGACTCCAAATAAATAAACCATTTTAATAATTCTATTTATTAATCATAAATTCTTAATTTATATAATATAATGTGAAATAATACAAAGCTCATGTAGTTATTCAACCAAGAGAACAGAAGTGCTAATAGTCTAATACATTTATGATTCCTACTGGACCAATCATAAAAACATATAATAGAACCATCAAAATAATGTATTTATGCTTTGCTAACACGTGAACTTCAAAAACTAAAGGATTGATTTCCAACAAGTTATTTTATCATGGCTGGCAAAAAAATTACATTACTAATATATATATTTTATTATTATTTTATTTATATAGAAAGGTGAAGACGACCAAGGGTACATCTGTCATTTTACTTCAAAGAAAAGACAAAATAGATGGCAAATCCGTCATCTTACTTAAAACACAAAATAGATAATTAACTTTTTCTCAACATTTCCAGAAGAATCCATTCTTTCATATCTTTGTACCAACAATGGAGAGACATCCACTCCTTCACAAGTATTCAGAAGTCTCTTTTCTCCAAACTTGAATTGAAGGCCTGCTCATTAACTTCATCTTCTCAGCTGGGTATGCATTTTTAGGTCAGCTTTTGTTTCATTATTTGCCCTAATCTACTCTTGAAAAGAGATTAAAGTTTACAATTTCATAATTGAGTTTGAGATTAAGGCGTACAAATTATTGTTGTATTCTTATATATATTCAAATTTTGGCGCAAGTGGAAGAGGCGTTGTCCATGGTTTACATATACAGATCCCCGATCATGTTTGTGGGATGTGGTTAGTTCTACACACGGAAAATTCAGTTTAGTTTTTTCTCCCAATTTTTTCTCTTGGTTCTGTCATATTTTTTCAATTTTATGAGTTAAGTTCAAGTCTGCTATAGTAATTGTTCTGCCTTAACTCTCTCTATGTTCTTCCACATTCATTTTCATTTTTGGATCCAACGAAGACCTCAAAATTTATGTCGGTATTTTCCTTCATTGAATTACTTTTTTTTATCTTCTTCTCATTGTGTAGATGCCCTTTGAATCTTGAACTTTCTTCTAGGAAAAAGTGTTTGATTGGTAGTAGTGATGGACTACTCTTTCTTTTTTTATCTTTATCGCATAAAGATAGACTGCTCCCTTCTCCGGTATCAGAAAGAACTTGGACACTCTACAAGACAAATTCAAGTGCAGTGGCAGATTTTCTTGCCTCTTTTCTAACAATCGCAATAGGTACTATCATGCTTTCATTTCAAAATTAGCTTTAATGTTGGAAATTCGAGTATCCTGAATAACAATTGATAGTTTTTACTGAACGGCTCTAAATGTCTATATACCTAGCTTACTAATTGTCTTCAAGTTTGATGTAAAGACTAAAGACTGACTGAACAGTACAGTGAAGGATGTTTGCTTAAAGAAATGAATAATAGACCTATTTTCTAGAGGGAAGTGTCGATACATATACGGGTTAATTAAGATTGCGGCTCTATTGACTAACTTTGATTCTTGAATCTAAACTTAGTGCAACATTCTAATAAAGATACTCCTTTGATGATGAATGAAGAATGACAATGATATTTCTATATAGGCTAATATCGCACTCTAACTTATCACCATTTTCTAACATACAGAGACTTTTTTTGTCTATTGAATTTGTTTTCTCCACTGTTTTTAAATCAGTCTCTTATGTCTTTCATGCTAGCTACTAAGAGAGAACCATGTAGCTATTGTTGACTAATACTGATTCTCTGCTTATCTTCTACTACTACTAATCATGATAAAAAAAATGTAGTTTGGTGTACACATTAGGTGTCGGTAACTTTTTTCCTTCAAACTATTCCAGCGAAGAAGGCAAGTGTTAGAGCAACAGTAAAATTGTCTCTATCTGACCTATGGTCACTGGTTCAAGTCATGGGATCAACCATTTATTCTTGTGTCAAGGTAGGTTGCCTACATCCCGCCAACATTATATTCCATAGAGCTTGTGTGCACTTACCAAACTACCATGCCCCTCCGTCCACAACAATTAGCACACACACCTAATAACAAGGACATCACAGTAAAATTACTTTGTTATCGTAATCGAATAGACCCCATGAAATATAGCTAGACTGATTATTTTTTTCTTTAACTTCTTTAATAACAATTAAGATTCTACTTGACTAATAGTATATGGGCTTCCTCTGTTCTCTTTTCCATCATAAAATTTTATTTTTTCATGTTGCTTCTAAATTAAAACTTGTATCCTTTTAATTCTAATCTTTTATCCTTTTAGGTGAACCAAGAAAATAAAAAATGTTGGATGCATAAAAATATAAGCTATAATTAATCTCTCTTTTTCGAAGACAAACGCCCTAAGCTCTAAATTTTGGGGGACCTAATATTTTTATCAAGAAGAAGATATATGATGTGCACGTTAGAGGGATAGTTTATTGTCTAGCTATTGAAAAGTAATACCACAACCAGGTAGTCATTATGGAGTATTTCAAACTGTGTCCAAGGGAAAAAAACATAAGCACATGAGAGGTTCACAAGAAGAAGGAAATAGTCCAGGTTCGTGTCATTTCTTATTTTGCTATGACACAAATAATGATTACCCTGACATGTATACATGTAGCTATTTTTTTCGCTCAAATAGTTGTTTTGTTCTATGGCTTAGCCATGAAATACTGTTATTTGGGTGCTTTAAAGATCATAGTTCGTCTTCACGAGCTCACTTGAATGTTTGAAGAATTTCATACTATTTGGAGTGGTGAGGAAACATATTCCTTAGCTAGATTGTGTTATTACCAGGATAACAAATATCTTATTGATTTGGTTATCGGTTTGAGGTGTTAACAAACTGATAAACCGAATCAGTAATTCACAAAACGGATCGAACCGATCGATAAGCACCCCTATTAAGTCCATGGAATTAACAACTTAACATAGTGGTAGGTTTAAAGAAGCCAAGTACCTGCTTTTGACAGAAGATTTCTTTAGGAGGAATTTAGTTGTCTTTTAAATGCTTGGCCAGATTTTTTTTTTGCTTTGGAATTAGCTAATTTTGAGTTTTTCTTTTACACTTTCTATTATAATCCTTTTCCTTTGTGGTATGTGTAATTGCAGGTTCAACTTAAAAGCTAAGTTGGACAAACATCTCAATCTTGAATATTCATCTTCTGCAATCATTTTGTGCCTCACTTCGGAGTGTACCTTAATTTTTTCTCCATTCTTGCACCAGACTGTTCTATTATTTATGGTGAGTTTCGTTTGAATTTTGTTTCCTCTTTTGTGTTTGTATTGTATCGACTAATATGCACATGTAGAGCTATTTCTTCTTATCTCTTGCTCCGATCTTTTGTAGTTCATGTGAATTTAGTTCATTGTGGGATGAATTGAACTTCAATCTCTGAAAATAAGTGTTATCTATCTTCTTATATTTCAATACTCTATTTTAGTTGTTGTTTTCCTTTTTGGTATGTGTATGTGTTCGTTAATAAAAGTTTTTGTTTGTTCTTTCTTAAAAATATAAGAAGCTATTTTCATATGTCGCAAAATTAAATAACATAGTGCTTTTGGAAGGTTCAAATTCCAGTGGAGCTAGATCAAAACACTATAGGTATTTTTTTCCCTATTTGCTTAAAGTTGGTGAGTAGAGTTACCAGATACTTATATTGCTTCATTGTCTAGGTTAGTGTAAGGTGGCTTGGACACTGCAATTGGACAACCCTATGAATATTCGATCATATCTTCTAACTCCCCAACCATTCAAATTTCTCCCAAGAATAATATTACGTCAGTTATTGCTTTATATACTTTGATAGACAATATTTTCCTTCATGTTGAACTGCTCCAATGGATCTAAAATTCAAATGACAAGCAAAACAAGTTTTTCACAAACTACAGGACTAAAATTGTCACGACCTGAGAGTACCCCCTAGTCGTAACATGGCGTATTCGACCCCGAAGGGGTCTTATACGAGCCACATAGTCATTCATTGCATTCAATAATGAAAATAGTGCGGAATAAAAAAAAACTTATTTACATCCACACATTTAAACTTCATTAAAACAACTTTAAAAACACACAGCGGAAGTCTAAGTCTCACATGGCCATCTTAGACACAGTCACAAAACATAAGTAGGGACACGGCCCTTTACAATCAAAAGAAGTCTATTAAGTCTATTACATGAACAAAAGAACTTAAAAGTCTTATCCTCGAATCCATGAGGACATACCAAGTCTTGGAGGAAAGCAATCCAACACTTCAAACTAGCTAGGAGGGATCACTTGCCGGAACCTACACTTATAGTAAAAATATGAAGAATATGGGTTAGTACACAAAATGTACTAAGTATGATGACCATGCAAAACATGCTTTAAAAGGGACATTTTGGTTAGAAACCATGCATTATGCCACTTTTTGAAGTACCATGAACAGTTGCATAAAAGACATACAAGACAAGCATAAACATCAAGTAAGTCATAATATTACCTTTAAACAATTTCAACATGAAAACCTTTACCTTGGACCTTCACCTCAAGAAACCCTTATGCTATACCTCGTGCAATGTATGGATGGCGTCCCATACCACCATCCATACTAAGGCACCACATTTAGGTCACTTAAAGTAACTTATCATTCCTTTCTTTCACCTTTGCACAATATTCATACATAAGAGGTATATCATTAATTAAGACATGACAAGGGAAAATAACTCGTAATATAACCCAAGTATAGCATGCATCTCATATTAAGCATTTGAGAGCCAACATTCTTTAATAACCCTATTTAGGCCAAAATTGTGTCACATACATTAGGATTTAGAGAAACTCACTATGACCCTCTCCAAGCCTACTCGTGCAATGTATAGGTAGCATCCCATACTACTACCTACACTTTGTAGAACCTATCAAGAAACCATAATGAAATCTCACATGATGGGAAGTAAGCGTTTAACCGACATAGACCATGAGAGCTTGTCATGGAATCCGGTGTCATAAGTCCCCACACCGTAAAGAGGTGGTCTACTTGCCTAAGGAAGACCGGTATATATAGCTTAATGGATCCACTAGCTTCCTATGCGGGCACATAGTTTATGGGATAAGGTAGACGATCATTGAAACTCATGCCTAACTATTGGGGGAGTTTCCATCTAACCAAATCCACTCGGTGCTTAGCCAACATTCCCATAGAATAGTTCGTTATCTTGACATTATCACATATGAGAGGTGCCATTGGCCTACCAACTCCAAATTACATTCATTAACACGTGAAAGGGTGCTTTAAGCCTACCGTTTCAAGGTTCATTTAGGAAAGCTCATTAACTCCTCTTGAAAGGGTGCCATGGGCCTACCGATTCAAGTCTCATCATTAACCTTTATGGAAAGGTGCCATAGGCCTACCGAATCCAAGGTTCATTACTTATCATTAATGGAAGGGTGCCATTAGCCTACCGATCCAAGGATTCAACAATCAACAATATAATCATTTATACAAGAAAATGATGCATAAGCCCTACCAATTCAAGGTATACTTTATATTGAAGAATCCTTCATATTCTATCATCAACATTCATGAGTGTCAAATTGAGAAAAATCCTTTCAATAATAACAAATTTACTTTCATAACATGATCACATTAGCTCCATTGAATGTCCATTCATAAAAATGTCATGTAACACTTAAATTTCTCATACTATGCCTTCAAGGCCATGGTCACAATGTAACAAACAAGTAAACAATTCTAAGTCAACATTAGCTCCTCATGTCTTGCCTTTAAGGCCATGGTCACAATACATTCCATAATTAAACACCTCCACCATAAGTGGATCAAACCAAGCAAGAACAATTTTATCCATAATATGAGATTAAGCCAACTTACCATCCTCCAAAGCCATAATCAACAACACTCAAGTCCCAACCATTTTACTTACCACAAGAGAATTCCTCCATAACTTGCCCATAAGGCCACAACTTTCAATTCATCCATACATCACCAATCCATCATAGATAGATGTAGAAAATCATAAGAGTCACTAATACAATCCAATCCAAACACAATTTCATAAACTTTGAATCATAAGCAAAAGACCCACTTCATAAGCAAATTTAGGAATTTAGGGAAAAACATGGGTTCTTCAAGGAATTCCATACGAAAACATCTTAAAAACAATAATCAAACATTAAATCATCAATATAATGGCTTAG